TCGCTCGTCGTTTTTAAATCCATTTCGTACAAAAATTTGCTAATAAAAGCATATATTTTCATATTATTGTTTAAATAAATGGCAGTTTCTTCCGGAATTTATCTCGTAATCCATATTAAATGAAGCAGAAAAGCTTTCTGCAACAAATAGAACAAATAATCAATAATCCTGTTAAACATTGATTTCTGCAGTAAAGACGATTAGCCACCGAAAATCAATAAATTTAAATTTATTCTGATAGAAGGTTTACTAAACGAATATTAAACCGAATTATCGAAATTAATTTAATGCGGCGATCGTAACTAGATTTAATATTTCGATATCTGCGGCCGATAAATTTGACGTTCCGGTACGTTTGTTAGCGTTAAATTCTGTGGAGATTAAGAAACGAAGGACTCGCTTACCTTAAATACTTCGGAGAAGAATCCGGATCCAATTTTCTCGCAGGTGAAATCATCTAATCTACTTAGAGCTGCCACCGCGTGCTTCAGAGCTTGGCAAGACGAGCCGGGAGTTCCGCAAAATGCGTTTTTGGGTGGAGGGTAGATTCCAGACTCGTTCGAAGAGATACCATCCGCTCCATCTACGCTACTAAGGAATTTATCTCCCATTTTTGGAAGGGATGGATTTTTCTTAAAATTTCTTTAACAAGTGACATATAGATTCCAACTAACATAGTTAGCCTTCGCCCAAATGAAGAAACAAGTTGAATTTTAACAATTCAGTCTACCTGCATTTAAAATTGTTTTCTCAGTTAATAAGTAAAATAAAAATTCTATTGATTTTTGCAAATCGTGTCGCATGATACGCTATAAATATTTAAGAGAAATGCCAAATTCGGACAGCCTTTTGCATGTAAAGCGTTAAAGCAATTCAAATATTTTGACTTAATAAAATACATTTACGTGTTAAATTTTAGCATAACTAATTTACTTACGTACCACACAATTTTAAAAATCTAATCTTATCATTTATTTACTTACAACTACGATTAAATGACGACGACAAACAAATACATAACTAGTTAAATAAATAAAAGATAATCACTTTACTACAAATAATTTTTATCGACGGACTAGATATCACAGAGAAAACAAAGTGGACTAATACATACGATAAATCGGTAATTTTCAATGAATTATTATAAATATTTCATTTTCTATACAGTCGAACGACGTAGAAGGGCCTAGTAGGCCCGTCCTCGTTCAAAATACCTAGGGCCTACAAAGCCAAACTGTACCAATGTGATTATGCACCAAAAATATAATTATAATTTAACGATTAATTATATTATATAATTAATCATTAAATTATAATTATATTTTCCCATAAACTGGACGTTGCTTTAGTCTTTTAAGTCAGGTGCTTGCGAAAACGTAGAAATTTAAAGTAATTTCATTTGTCAGTTATAAAATCCGCAATTTAAGTTGTTCGATACGTAATTACGAAATTAAGTTTGGAGAAACTGACAATGAAATGCATATTTAATCATAAAAAAATAAGAAAATTCAGTGCTGCAGAGTGTTAAATATCATTTCAGTTAATTAATGATACGTGATTTTACTAATGAGGTTTGGGAAACCTTGAAAACGATTTTTTCAAGAAATACAAACTTCTCAGAAAAATAAGAATGCTATCTGTTTAATTTTTAAATAGAAATTCTGGATTATACTAGTAAAATATAAATATAGGATGCAATAAACAAGAAAGAAAATTGAGAAATTTAGGCAGACACATTGATAATCTCATTCCCAACATACATCTAATTAATAGAGACAAAAATCAATAACCTGGAAGACGACGTAAACATTTTGTTGCTTCGTCATTCAGACGACAACAACTGATTTTCCAACAATAAATATATTAAAAATATAATACTTTAAAACAATTTCTACTAATTTCTGAAGCAGTTGACTTTAAAAAAACCACATCGGAGCTCGAAAAGTACAGTTATCGAGTGCTATATTTTCAACAGTCGAATAACGCACGTGCATATCTAAAGTAATATTTCGACAACTCTCACAATAAGCACTTTATAATTAAATAACCTACTTAAATATTATTAAACTTTTGAAAGCTTAAGTATTAATTATTAATAGTAATAATAATTTGATTTAAATTGTACTCTTATAAAGGAATGTTTTTATTTATGAAACATCGAACTTATCTAAATGACGTTTATAAACTTTACACTTTAAGTTCATAAGTAAACATGTAAATGAATTAATTCGAATTCTTACTAGCGCTAAACAACAACCTATTGGATTACATTACCGAAATAAGGAATAGTCTGTCGTAAGCGACAGGCACAAACGTAATGTAATTTACAAACAATAATATCCTGTGATCTACGAGTTATGGAATTGCGAAGACCAATACGGTTTAAATTAGGCTGCAAAATTGTTTTCAAATTTAATTTTTCTGTTATTATTAAATTCCTAATAGTTTTCTTAATGACGTAAACGATGAAAAAGGAAATGAGAATGAGAAAAATATTATAGAATTGGAAGGAAATAATCTTTCTGTGATTCTGCAGAAAAATATTTTACCTATATTTAAGGTATATTTAAACAATTTCGACAGCGAAGGAGGAAATGAAAGATGTAGATCGTCCGACAGGTTTTTCTCTTTCTTGTTTTTTATTTTTTTTACCTTAATATAAACAAAAGTTACATTTAATGTATCAGGAAAACAGAAAAATTGGCATACGTTCAGATATTTTAACAAGCAAATATCGAGGCGTTTATAAATTAAACTACCGACAGTCCCTCTAATCAAACCAGCTCAGATTTTAATTTTAAAAAAATGGAAGTTATAAAGTAATTTTCTTCCCGATCCTAACATTAGCAATACATATGAAGATCCTGTACATTATGATAAGCAACTTTTAAATAATGCATTTTGTTATTCGTACAGAAAACGTAAATTAAAATACATGTATTGGGAAACCGTTTTATAGGGGGAAAAAAAAGAAAATTTTATTTAAAAATAAAATCAAGGCTACGACGGAATTTTATCACATGCTGAGATATCATATAATAAATTATTGTAAGTACCATCTTCAGCATTTTAATTATAAAAATATTCTAGTCTCGAATTCATTTTATAAATAATTCTTGCCAATGCAAGTATATTTTCTTGCCGAAGGACAATAAATAGCATCGAGATAAAAACCAGTAGGCACAATTTACTTTATTTAATTCGTTTCACGACTTTAAACCAGAATAAAAATGCAAATACGGACGTCGAGAGACAAGTTGACGTTTTAATAATTTATCGGTAAGAAATTTTATCTGTTTTCGAGTATAATCGATCATCACGCTATTGATTTTTTTCGGTAAACATCTCGCACAAATGCTACCGTTTAATTAAATAAAACGTATATCAATAACGTGTGTAAATTTAATCAATACAACCGGAACGTTATTATTAAATTGGTAAACACGGCCGAAATTTATTTATTTTTAAATGCTTACAAAACTCGTCACTTAACAGATACAACCCAGAGATTAGATCGTTCGTCATTACGTTTGCGCATTAATTTTATCAATCCAGAATAATTAAAACAGCAAAATTTCTACAAAACAACCCTCCTAACAAATAAATCTAGCAACAATCAAGTTTAATTACATATTTATTCAGTTTTTCACTGAAAGAAGACACTTAAGAAGAAGAAGAAAAAAAAATTACTAATAAAATAAACACAGTTACTATAATTAGAAATTGCAAATTGTACTTATCTAACAAGTTACGTAACATTTAATTATGTATTATTACTTACAACGTGGCATAAAATCTAGGAGAGCGATAACAAAGTTACTTATCCTGATTTAGGAAGCAATAAAATGTCAAAATCTAAATCACACGGTGGCGTCTTATATGTTTGCAGGGAGCCCCGCATATGGCGTCGACTCCGAACACGTTCCTCTGGGGGGATTCTCCTCAAATTCCCTCGTCCTCTTCCGTTTCTCGACGCCACCTCCGGCGGGTTAAGTTCCAAGCTGTGCCGGTGCACCCCGCACCCGCGAATTTAAATTTTGACATTCTTACTGCGGTGACGAATTTATAAAAGACTGGTTCAGGGCAGCGCCGGCGGGGGACTCCGGCCAGAAAATTCAAGCACTCATAATGCAAAAAACTTTCAGTATTTAGCGAGATGATGATTTGTATTAACAAAATAATGATGATTAGGTTATTATTTCTGTATATTTTCCATAACAAACAATAATTCACATGCATTAAGATGATTTAATTACACTTAACACAAACTAATTTATACTTAAGCAGAGAATTAAAGAGCAATTAAGCTTAATTAAAACTGTTATAAAGTCATTTTAAAAAAAATCACTTTTTTATTACTAAATTAAGATTTTTTCTCATTTAATTTAAGTTAAATTCATCATATTCTAACAAACTAAATAACAATTAGGCCTAATTCAAGTTCTTAATGCTAACTTCATTAATTAACATGTTTAACAAGATTTTACTTACACATATATATATACACACAGACACACACACACACAGACACACACACACACACATATACACAATCACAAATTAAAATATCTTTATTTGATTATGTACCAAAAGAAAAGGATAAAATGTTAAAGAGAAATTGTTTATTCACTATATTTCTAACTAAACTGGTGATTCAATAATGACATAATACTCACCAGACACTTGGATTTTATATTTTTCAACAGAGGAATATGTTCGGCAGTCAAATCTCTTAACGAACGCAAACCTTTTTTACGACATACTGCCACAATGTACAAGCTATTTTTCTGATTTTCATCCCACTTTAAATCCGGTATTAATATAAAACCAACGTCTGGATCATCATCTTCACAAATTATACGATCTACTTCCGATTTATGTTCCAAGATATTATAAACCCACTAAGAAAATTAATAAAATAATCTATTTATTTCATGATTATTAAAAATGCAAAACTTTCAAAAAAGTAAAATACCTGTAATGAAAATTGTTTTGTTTCCAAATATGGAAGCGTCACATTTTTGTACATTTCTATAGTTTCTGTAATAAAATGGAGTGGCTGATGAGAATACTTTTGAATATGTTTTTCACTGGCAGGATGAATTATAGTGGCCTTGATACCTACAAAAAATATAATTTATGTATGTTACTTATATATTATGATGAAAAATTAATACTTGTAAGGTGTATTAATTGTTAAAAATTAAAACTTTTATTTATTTTGAATCAGCTCTATACTATATTTAACTTCGACCCGAAAAACCAAATGCAGCACGTATATTTGACGGACGAATGTTTTTTTTTACCATCTTAAACATTATTGCCAGGTTCGAAACTAACATTTCCAAATAGAACGACGAGAAAATATTTAGAAGAAAATTTTACCAACTACGATGCAATTTACTAGACCGAGGAAATAACCAAAAAGAAAACTGCGAGTATCCGAAGGATATTAAGGACCTCTTTAAGGACGTTCGTTGCACAAATAGTTACGAAAGCGCACGTAGTTCATTTCCACACTTGTAAATTACTATAAGAAAAAAACATAACTAAATAATTGGACTACAATTCCGCCAATATAAATAAATCGTTCGGTCACGTTTCTACATACTTATCGGGCTTGGTGACATTTGTTATACTGTAAGAAAGTTTGACAGAGAATAAATAAATACAGTACTACAAAAATAAAGTTGATTTTATATTGTATGTCATTATTATACATATTACAGAGCATTCGTAAATTTTGCAGTAGGGAACTTGCATCTTTTCAGCTTAGCCTCCTACTACATTTCTGGGAAGAAGCGATGGTAACCCGACCGGGAAACATACTGCATTTACAGATAATTTGATAAAACAATGTTTGGTACAACAGTCAACTATGCATTGGGCAGAGTCAACCGTCATAACCGAGCAAAGGCCTTTCAATCGGTAGTCGTTACGTCTGCCGTACGACCGACAACGTACGCGTCAAACAGAAAGCAGCCACGGTCGGTCGGTTTCGGGTAGCGACGAGTAGCATAAACGAAAGACGCTACCAAACGTGACGTCAAAATACCAAAAACTTTCCGAAACAGTGCTACCGTAGAGGGCGTCGGGCAGAAAAATAACTGCTCCGGAATTGTCAAGTCTGCCAAAGGCAGCCAATGAAATTGGCGATATAAGATTGGAAACAAACACGAAAATACAGTGAAACTGTGTGATAGTGAACAGTGTTATACAGAGCTGCCGAGAAATTAAGGGGTGATCTCGTTACATCGAATAAAGAGTCAGACTGCAGCAATCTCGAGGATCAACGAGCTTCATTGTTACAAGTTAACTTACTGTTAAGATCGGCTTTGGTAAAACCTTGATAAGATCCATATATGTCGTTAGCGAAAACTTTCTGTAGCGACGTTTCGCCACTCAACCAACCACTTAATTTATCTTTAACAAAGGAAGTCTTCTCCAAAATCAAAACGGCCGATCTGTCGTCTCCCGCGAAACTCCCTTCTAAAAATATAATTTTATTCGACGTATCCTCACTTAATATTCTCTTTAAACGAAAATTCTCCAGATTCTCGATCGTATCGTGAACGGAATCCTTCGAATCTTCTATCTTTCGTTTCTTATTATTAACCGATGCCGCCATTTCCCTATTCCGTGTCGTCACATCCTGCCATCAGATGGTGCGTGACGTCACAGGAAATGGTTGCCGTAGTTCGTCTGCATTAAGGAAAATTTGAAAAAAGGTAAAGTTTCCTAAATATTATTTATTCTAATCGTTTCTCGTTATATAATACCGTATTAATATAAACTTTAGGTACAATCTAGCGATAAATTTTGCCATAATTTGTTGTTGTTTATGAATTATCGAAGGTACTGGACGTTGTGACAATCGAAATATACGAGTTTGTAAATATATTAACGTCAAAATTCATTTAAAATTGATATTTTTCGTTACAGTTTATCAGAATATCTATTCATTTTTAAGTAAGATTATCCAAGGCGTTTAAATAAGCTTTAAGATTACACAAATGTATTGAAGTAAATATGAAGAATGAGTGATATAAAGTAGCCCTGTTCTTGGTCGAAATACAATATATAATATATTTTTCGAGTTAAAATTAACACAGAAATGCAAGTAAACTAACAAATTATCTGACGTGCGAGCGACGTCGACCGTCCAAAAGCAATTTGGTGTATTCTGCGAAGAAAGAAAAGATTACTCTCGGGGGGGCAACTATGCCCACGCTGGCCGGCTAGAATATGTGGCGAAAAGAGGTGATGAAGTTTTGCGCTTTCTGTTTCTCGTTCTCGTCTGTCTGGTCGTAATAAACCGTAGCTAGAAACGGAGAGAGCGAAATGTCATCGCCTCTTCTTGCCACGTATTCTTGCTCGCTCGTGTCTACGGAGTTGCACCTAGTGTTACCACCCGTCCGGTTTTCACCCGGACAGTCCGGGAATTGACTCGCTGTCCGGGTGAACTATTAATTTTGTCTGGGAATTTCGTAGAAATTATGAAATTATGATGAAACAAAGTTCTTGCAAATATTTTTACAAATTTACACTATTTTAACAGCGAAAGAACTCACACTCACTGAAATTCATATGCAATTCTGCCATGTTAGTCAGTCTGTTTACGCCAACATGTGGCGCACAACCTGTTGACTTTTTTTTCTTTGTTTTTTGCATGTACTATCGTACACGTCTCTCCAATGTCCAATAGAGCTAAGTCATCTGTACCTGTTCTTTCTTAATTTAGGTTACTCCTACGCAAGTCCCAAGTCCCTAGTCCCTAACTGTAACTGATTTAGAACCGCCATGCACATTATTCTTCGCATTGTAAAATGACATTGTGCATGCATCAGGAACTTCTATTCGAACAAACCTGACCTGTCGTCCAGGTTAGCAATTTTCAAAAGGTGGCACACTAGTTGCACTTTTACTTCAGATACACAACCTCTTTGCTTTTGTACAAAAATTCGATTAAATTAAGAAGAACCTAAGATATTAGTAATGCTAGCGATTTTATTTTATAACGAACTAAAGTGACCGTATCTTTTGTCGGCCAAAATGGATGCTTTTTGTGTTTTTTGGTTTCGGTTATTTGTGTGTCTACTCTGTCCGTGCTCTCGATGGCCTTACCTTGCTTTGCTTTGCACTCCGTGCCTCCGACTGCAGTGAGATGATTGGGCTGGAGCTACCGGAGAAGGGAAGGGTGACTGATTTTTCTTTTTTTTCAGATTGGCATCTGTTTAAATGATTTTTTTCTCGGTAACCTTGTTAGTTGCGAATTTATATTTACGATTGACTGCGGTTGGAGGTGGTCCTGCCTAAATATGAACTGCTCTGCCAATCCTATTAATAAATCTTTCTACTTTGTTTTAGAAATCTTATACCTATTAGTATTAGAGAATTTGTCTAATCTGTAAATCTAAACTAATTAAGATTTGATTAAAATAAAAGAATTTATACATTTTAAATAAAGTAAATCAATCTAGAACCTTTTAATTCACACAAATAACTAACTATTGCAAAATTTTCTATAGTATATTAAAACTAGAAGTTAATCTATTTATTACATAATTTAGACTAGAGATTGACAGAGTTATTATCTTATAAGTATGTTAATAATAAGAAATAATGTTTAATTTAATTAATAAATTTAGAAATTCTACAAAGAAAGATTTTTTCCTAGAATAGGATTTAAATCCTGCAAACTGAATGAACATATTAATAAATTATGTTGAGTTGATTTTTGCTTCTGGACAAATATGTAATGTAAAGTCGTTATACTCGTATAAGCATACAAATTTTTGGTAAGAGTTCTAATTTCCGGGATGGCAATTCTGACTGCCTAAAATCTAATGATGGCTAGACGACCGAGGCAGTAAAGCTGTTAGTTTGTTGCTTGGGAACTCGGGTTTAAGTCTGGCTTGGGAATTTTGGAAATTTTTCATGGGTAGTAGTGTCCTGGATATGTTGGGCCAGTCCCTCACCACCTAGATGCTTTTCATTGTGGGACATCTGAAATATTAGTTTGTTTGGAAAGTTCATAGTGATTTTTAAGAGAAATAAAAGAAACTGTTTTAAAACTAAAAATATACTTTTATTCCATTACATATGTGCCATTGTTTTTAATGACATGTTGCCATCTATGGGGGAGCTTCATGATACCCTCTTCGTAGAACTTTCCAGTTTTTCCCGCAAAAAACTGATCCACGTGGTTTTTGCAAGCTTCCAAAGTATCAAAGTTTTTATCATGAAGGGAATTTTGCAGAGAACGGAACAAATGGTAGTCTGATGGGGCAAGGTTGGGTGAGTATGGGGGCTGAGGTAAAACATCCCAGCCTAGTTCCAATAATTTTTGGCATGTTCGTAAAGACGTGCAGTCTGGCATTATCTTGTTGAAACACAATGCCTTTTCTATTGGCCAGTTCCGGACGTTTTTCTTTAATTGCCATGTTCAGTTTATCCAATTGGGAACAATACTTATCTGAATCAATTGTTTGATTTTGTGGAAGCAGCTTGTAGTACAGGATTCCTTTCCAATCCCACCAGACTATGAGTATGACCTTCTTTGGATGAAGATGGGCCTTTGGAGTTTTTAATGGTGGTTCATTTTTCTTACCCTATGATTGTTTTCGGCTGATGATGATATAAACGATCCACTTTTCATCACCTGTCACTAAATGCTTCAGAAAAGGGTCATTTTCATTTCATCTTTCAAGAGAATCACAAATGGAGATGCAATCCAGTAAGTTCTTTTCCATTAAGTCGTGAGGTATCCAAATGTCATAATGATTCACATATCCGAGCTTCTTTAGATGTTGAAATAAGGTACTGTTTGATGAATTCACTATGTCTGCAATTTCTCAAGTTGTATAATGAGGGTTTTCATCCAATAATGCTTTGATCTGGTCCTCTTCAATAATGGGAGGTCTTCCTAAATGGGTAGCATCTTCAAGGCTGAAATTATCCGCTTTAAATTTTGCAAACCACTTTTGAACAGTTGATTCTGCTCAGCACTCCCACCATAAACATCACATATCGTTTTTGCTGTTTGTACAGAATTTTTTCCTTTACGATAAAAAAAAAAGAAACAAGTGTAGATAATGCATGTTGTTTGCATCCATTTTATCGCTACAAACTTTCCGAACAACCCAATACCCAATATTTTAATAAATATTCCTTTATGCAGTAATTCAAATTATGTTTATAAAATTTTGCTATCAGAAAGAATAAAACATTACATGATGCTAACAAATTTTGATATTTTATTTTCAGTTTGTGATATGGATATATATTACATGTCTAGATTTTTCTTATACATATTATTATTAATCAAAAATATGAATTTGAATGACGCTGCAGTTAACAATAAAGACGAATCATTGGCACCATGTCAGATTTGTAAAATTCTCACAAAATCATTTGAAAAGGTATATTTTAAATTTTTAAAAAAATTATACAGTATTTAAAATGAATTTTTATGTTAATTAAAAAGATAAATTATTCTACATTTATTTTGACTTTCTAGGGTATAGAATCAACAGTAAGAGGAAAATTTGAAGGTGGTGATGCATCTTGGGAGGAGAGTCGCTTAGGAAGTTATGCAAATAGGTGACAAAATAGTTTTAAATTAATTTTTGCAATAATTTATTTATTTATTACAACAACACATATCTTGAATATTGTGTGATTGTAATTAAAACTTTAGCTATTCAAATTTCTCTGTAGAAAGAATTATTGGGTAAATCTCAACCAAATTTAGTATGCATACTGGTCTCAAGTATGCAGTTTCAATTTTTGGGGAAAAAATTTTACTTTAAAATTCAGCTGCTAGAGTGAAATTAGGTATTGATGTCTTTTTAATATATATATATATTTTCCAACAAATCTTGGGTATAAGAGGAGCCAGAAAATTATATTCCAATGCTATCTGAAAAATTATCCAAACATCACAATCTTTATGCAAGATGGTAAGCACCTACATATCAGTTTAAATGTGCAAGCCTTACTGCAGCAACATTTTTTACGTAAGAGAATGATTAGCTGATTGTTTCCAACATTACAGCTGCCACAATTATCAGTTCCAAAACATGTGACCATTGGTTATGGGACTACCTGAAAAGCTTCATTTATTGAGGTAATGTTTTAAACCTAGCTGTCTTAAAAGATAAAATTTCACAGTATGTGCAACAACTCCACACAGATCAGTTATATTCTATCATTTCATGTATTGTGTAGCAAATGTAGTTTTACAGCATGTAGATGGAGGTCACATAGAGCCATATCTTTAATGTAATCATCAACTTCACACTTCTTGTCTATATCCACATTGAAATAAAATTATGGCATTTTGTTTCTTAACTCCCAAATTTATAACATATGCATTGTGGAGAACAGTGCCATATTTTGCCCTAGCAACTGAACTTTGAAGTAAAATTTTTTCAACAATTGAAACTAAATACTCAACCAAATCTCATCCAAATCTGGTAAAGATATATACCAAATTTGGTTGAGATTTGCCCAATAGTTCTTTCTTTAGATAGCTCTGAACATCTACTCTTTAATCATAATAACCCTGTAAATTTTACTTAATATTTCATAATGCAGAATTTAAATTATTATTCAAAACTTTTATTCAATGATAAGATAAGTTATGTCTGAAAGATCATCACTTTTTATTCAGAAATACAAATAACATATTTACAAATACTGTAGAAATTTAATTATCCAAAATTTCAGATTATCTGAAATGGTTTAAAAAAGAAGAAAACTAGAATGTGTAGTGTTGTACAGTACATACCATAGAGTAAAATACACACAGAACAAAGTCTTCACGCAACTAGAAATTAGAAATTACTACATCATCTGTTGAGTGTAGCAACACAAAACTAGGTCATATGCATAACATTCTTAGATTTTGAGTAAATTAATTTACTTTCAAATACAGTAATTGCATTAGAGTATTTGTAATTTGTGAAACTCTAAATTCAAAGTGCTTGATGTACACAAATGAGTATCTGGATTATCTGAAAGACTCCTGATCTCATCAAGTTTCCACTGTATATGCTGGGTGATTGCAATTAAGAATTCATATTCAATTTTGTCTAGAGAGAAATTTTATAGTCCAAATGCCAAGTTTGGTATGATGACATTGCAGGATGTAGAAGATATTTCTGTAAAAATAAAATTATTAACAAAACTCACCACTTTTCATGCTTCAAATAATAAAAAGTACTTTCCTTGTGAGGACACTAAGAAATATGGTTTATTGAGAACACATTGCAAGTTTGGCAGCCTCAAAAGACAGTATCAGGCTGCGTATGAAAAGCATCACAGAAAGGATTAATTAAGATTGGCCATCAAACACTTGTTCATCACCTTTGGGTTTTATGCTCTCGGAATGGGGATCACATTGAGTAGTATCACCTGCATCACTAAGGTCACTGTATAATACAAGTGTCTTGTAAAAATAAAATATTTGTTGCTTGCAATGCCAAAAGTGCCAAAGGCAAGCATTAAAAAAAAGTAATGTTAAACTTGAGGAGATCCTCAAGGGAGCTAAGATTACTCCAGTCACATATGTCCAAGTAGCAGGCTCAAAAAGAAAGGAAGTCAAGAGAGAAGTTGTGCTGGTCCAACCAGAGAACAAGCAGACACTGCAGAAAAGTTCAAGCAGGTTCTTAAAATGGAGATTAGCCAAAAGAGCACAGGAATTCAAAATATGAAAAAATTAAAGACTGGAGGTGTTCTTATGAAATTCCACACCATAAGAGGAGGAGACATTAATGAATAAAATTCAGATTGAAGCTGGACTCAAGACTATAGAGTTAAAAAAGCTTAAACCAAGACTAATGATAGGATTTGTATCAAAAGATATCAATATAAAAGATATTAACTTACTATATAGCAAAAATGAAAATTTCATGGATAAATACTTCCCTGAGAAGTTTCAAAATCATGAGAAGCTTAAATACCGATTAGGACCCAGAAATAAAAACTCTACTAACTGGGTTATTGAATTGGATCCAAAGATACAGAAGCTTATTGCATTAAGGAAAGTGAATTTAAAATAGTTGAGATGCAGCTGAGATGATTTTATATCTATCCTACAATGTTATAATTATTGCAAGCTTGGATATATGGAAAAAGACTGCCCAGATAAAATCCCTGACTGCAGCTGGTGCATGCAACAGCATAAGTTTAAAGATTGTCAAATGTAAAGACCACTGTCTGGTGGTCTTTACATTAGGCAACCTTTAAACTTCCATCTTTAATGTTCATCCATTGTTCGCTCCAGTTGACAGTGTTTGTAAAATTCTGGACTGTCAACTGGAGCGAACGACAGATGAACAAACGGAAACAAAGTATTGTTAAACATTGCAATTTTATATTTATATATTTAACTGTAATTTTAATTTAATCAATTATAATTTAGGTATATTTTTTCTTGGCTTTAAATTGAAAGAGTTTATTCTTTCACTAATGTTTATTTTCTGAGTAACAGCATTTTTAATAGATAACAAGGATAAAGAAGTTAATCTCTCACTCTCCATTATCAATTGCTATTTCTAAGTGATAACTTATACATATTACTTTGCTTTCCAGATTCCAAACTGATAAGCTTACCAGACCTGTGTTAATTAGTAAAATTGGTGGTGATAAATAATTTGAAATGGCAAAAAATTTTTAAACTGGCAAAATGGTTGCTGATTTTTAAAAATTTCCCCAGCAACCCCTGTATCTATAGGAGTATTGTTAGTGATCTATGGCCTCCCACTTATTGACATTATAACAGAAGAAAAGTCGAATAAATATAAATAAATAATTGCTTAAATAAAAGTTTGTTTAAATAAAAGTTGAATATAATAAATATGGATAAATACAATATTTAATAATAAATATATAAATAAATAATGAATAGATACAAGTTCAAGTTCTTTATTGCCATACAAAGGTACAAGCCCGGTACCGCATAAGCACAACTGATTTGAAAATGCATACAGCAGTAAAGTTACAGAGGAATAGAGTACATAACATAGCATAACATGATATTATATACAAGGTATGAAATAAAAGACGTGACTGTAGATATGGAGCACTATGTACATAACATGATATACAAAGCAGTTTAATTACATACTAGAGATTGCGTAACAAATAAGAATGACTTTATATACAAGACATTGAATTGGAACACAATATACAAGACAAGTACACATCAAAGGTCAAATACATAAATGGAATTGCATAACAATATGAATAAGATATAAGAGGTGGTATTTATGTTGCTAGGAGCTAGTTGAGACATGGATAGCTGCAAGTTTACAGTATTTGTTGACCAGCTGATTGAATTAAACGTAAGTGGAATGTTTGCTGATCAACTCGTTGCAACTACAGGACCAGTCCTTTCCCTGAGAGTTGATTATAATCTTTAAATGTTGCCGCTCAGCATCAAGCATTGGGCAGTTGAAAATATAATGGAGTGCTCTGTCTTGAGTGCCACAGAGGGATCATGTATTGTTCGAGTAGTTGGTAAATCTGTTAAGGTAGCAGTGGAAATTACCATGGTTGGTATAAAATTGCAATGTGAAATGGTTGAGTTTCAACCATTTACAGTTATAAAGGTCCGAGATATGCGGGAAGAAGTTATTGGTAATTGATTGACAGTTGTTGTTCCAGTCATTCTGCCAGTTTTCGAGGAGATTGTTCCAAAGGATGTGCTTTAAGATGGAATTGCTCATATTATTATAACTAGTGGTGAGAGTGAAGTCAGTGGTGGCCTCCTTTGCTAGTTCGTCTGACTGCTCGTTACCAGGATTACCCTGATGTGCACGAGTCCAGTTCAAGAAATATTTGTTGGTGGAATGATGAATAGTGCAATAAATATCAGTAACTAGGTGGTATGGATGTTTGTTTTTAATGCTGGTGACTGTGACTTGACTGTCAGAGACAACGTTTATACTAAGGCCAGAGAAAATTTGACCGATTTCTCGGTCAAATCAGAAATCGGTTCAAAAAATCAGCTCAAGTAAATATGTAAATTAGTTTGCCAAATAGCGTAGTTATGGTAATTGTACACAGGAGCGGTTTAACCAAAAGCTACAACTTAAATCATATGTCTTTATGAATTGTAAGTGATACAAATAATAATTACTAGTTTGTACAATTAATGTAATTGCTTTAAGTATGTTCTATGTAAATTGGCAGTTTGGATAATATTGCTAAGATGACTTTGTGAAATTTTGTTCGGAAAGAAAGGGCGACAACTACTATCNCCCAACGTATAAAGAATTATTTTTATTTAAAGGTGGATAGATAGAAAAAAAAATCACGGTTAATCCTCAAAGGATTTCCGTAACGTGTATAACAGCCTTTAGCCTGCTTTTAATTAATTTTAACATAGAAAAGCTTTGTTCACCAGACACTTGTGTTACAGACATAGCAGATATTTGTATTCTTGACCAAGTATAGAATAAGCACCACTTAACATGTTATATCTGAATAATATATTATATATAACAACAAATAGAGCAATTTTTGCAAGCAATGCAGTAAGAGGATAAAATCGCATCTTTATTAGTTTCTACTTGATCATCAGTAGAATGTTCATTTTCGTTTAATTTTATAAAAGTTTCATTGACATTTTCCTTTAAAATATTCCATGACGATTTAAAATGTTGCAATTCTGAAATAATATTGTGTTGAGTAGCTACTGGATTAAACTGTATTAAAATACTGCTTAATTTTTGAAATGCGTTTTCAGGAATATTTAGTGACGGTCCCGTAAATTTTGGTCTAATGTGCTTTGAACTCGCTGTAAGATGACAGTCGAACTCTCCCCGGTTGCTCTCTCTCCCACTTTCCCTGATCTAGATCGAAGACGTGTGAATTTGGTCCGGGAATGCGACAATTAAATCGTCTTACACTCGTTCTTGTTTACGAAATAAATCACCGATTTATTAGCTTTAGCTCGACAACCAGTTTCCTGTTGGAGAGGGGGTGAGGTCCCGGCCTCACACTACAAAATATATTATTTTTAATTAAATCGTTTGGAATATAGAGAAATTATTATTGAATAACATTTTTTACTTACCTAAAATAAAGGAAATAATATAAGTGGCCATTAAATTTGTTATGACTACAATCATTGCTTTGGTGGCTAGGTACAAAACTAATAACTCGCATTTCTATAGTTTAGCATTAAGATTCATAGGAGTTGTGAATAGTTTCTAGCAATGTAAACAAATGACAATTTTCTCTGTTTAGAAGGTAGTTTTGATTAGTTTTCTCCTAGGATGCTTTCTGTTTGGGCTAATGTAGTGGTGTTTGACTCAGACCCGCCGAACTAATTTAACTTCAGATACAGGTAGGGCCAAGTAAAATGATATAGGCCTACACATATACCTATATTATATACCTTACTTAACAAAAAAATATATGAATTTTTTTAAATTAAACGGTACATTATGTACATATTTAGAAAAAAACGGCCCAAATTGTATACGGCCCATGTGGAATTTTCCACATTTTCCACATGGCCAGTCCGCCCCTGTACAAGGATTGTTCAAAAAGTTCCCAAATTTTTTGAACAACCCATGTATTTACTATTTTTTCAAACCTATTTGTCAGTTCTTTCATTTAGGAAGCCATACTTGATGAAAAGACTTTTGTTTAATTACAGAATTAAACAAATTTCTGTTGGTTGAGTGTGGCATCCTGGATGAAGGAATTGACAAATAGGCCAGAAATATTTTTTCTGAATAGAAAATAAAGAGAGGTGAGTGAAAAAAAAAAAAAACAGTAGCTTGATTTTTCATTTTGACTCTTTCTGCCCTGTGGGCACTAAGATGGCCTTTTTTTCCAGGCCCATTGTGGGTTCAGCTGGGTAGTGATGGACTGGGCACAACATATTCAGGACAGATTGCCCAGAGTGGAAGCTGATACCCTTACTGCCTAATTCATCTGGCAGGTAACAGATTTGCTTATTACGATCACTTTGGAAATCATTCATACTGATAACAATAACAGTCTGATAACATTAGGCTGGATATGTAAGTAGGACTATAATTACTGGAAATTCTATTTTTATTGACTCTGATATTAAAATGGCAATGTTAAAGCAATTAATAAAAAACTTTTAAAGTGAAGTTTTATTGAAAATGATGATAACTGCTTATTGTAATGAGAATTTATATAACGTTTTTTTAGTGATTTTAACTTGCGTGTTTTCAGACTTACTAATTCTGATAACATTAAATTGCTGAGAATAATTAAACTTTATTAAATAATTAAACATTAAATTGCTGAGAATTATCCATAATTCCAATAATTAGATTTTACTTTACAGCCACATCCGTTTAATATCACATCTGTAGGACTGTCAGTATAAGGTGACATTAATTGGAGTTCAATAGAAGAGCTCGAGATTTAAATTCCACCAGTACAGGAAGGCCTACTGTATATGTCCTATACTTGCCATATACATTTAATAAACAAATAAGATACATTATCAAGCACATAGTTTATTATATATATTATAATCAAAAAGTAAAAAAAATTTTGTTGCAATTTTTTTTTATTATAATGAGAATTATACAGCACTATAAATCCTTACAGTGTACTTTGCTTGATAAGAATGACTAAATGAGGATAGTGTAATTAGTATTGCTAATCCTGAAACTGAAAACTGCTAAGGCACTCACAAAAACTGCAGTTTGGATAAGAAAACTGTTAGATTTCACACTTAAAAACCATTAAATAAGTTATAAATCCCATATTTTGTTATAAATTGAAAAGATGTCAATAGACAATGTTGAAAACACTTTGCTGAGTTGTTCGTAGCTGGGAACTTTGTGATATTAAATGGAATATTTAAATCCACAGTGCACCAAATATCTTGACATCACTCAACTTGTGCTAATAGGTAGAGTGATGTTAACCAGAGAAAAGTCTATTACAGTAGAGCATTGATTATCCAAATCAATTGGGAACTGGAGTTGTTAGGAAAATCGATTTTTTGGATAACCGATTAGGTACAAAAAAATATATTAACCTATCCCATGTTGAAATTTGTTTAAATCCTGGCACATTTTTAAGTACCCTCTCGTGGCCTGCACCAGTGCTGCCAGCTAAAACACGCACACCAACAAAAATAATATTGGAGTAGCCCAAGACATAGCCAAAGATTGCAGTGCCACAGCACTAGTGGAAATTTAAATTTGCCAACCGGAAAGCTTTCAGTTAATTGACGTTTTGGTTGATTGACATTTGGATAATCGATGCTCTACTGTATTTACTTATGGGGGTTGGTCAGAGATAAAAATTTCTGTGACAATAACCAATGTGTAACTAGTGCTTCAACTGCACATAAAATTTCAAAAAAATAAATAGTCTATTATCCATTGTAATTTTAAGAATCATTAAAAACCAAAATCTGCCTTTTGCCTTCTTTTAACAAGATAAAATGAATGTAATGTAATAAAAGCATTATATTTTCAGTAATAAAACTATTTTAAAAAGCTTAGAAAATAGATACATATTTAAAATGTAATAACAGTGGTGTACCCAGGATCTGAACTAGAGAGGGGCAACTCTTATTAGTTTTGAGGAAGTGGGGAGGGAGAGTGAGATTTCATGACAGATGGCTCTAGTCTAGTCCCAATATTCATTATTCAAACTGATACTAAATTGATACGACTGTACTGTGTGTCAATTACTACACTAATTTTTCTTCTAGGGAGGGGCAGCTGTCCCTTGCTGGGTACACCCTTATGTAATAATCTTATTGAGTGTTTAGAAACTACTCATATGATTTGACTGTAAGAAGAAGCTAGTGATGATAGAGTAGGGAAAGAACAGATGAGTGGATGAATCAACAGAAAATAAGGCAACTCTTGCATGGAGATGTACTGTAAAATTGCTAAAGTTGCCATATGTGGGTTGCTGTGTGGTCGTATAACCTAATTATACAGAGTAAACAAGTGAGAGATGCCTTGGGTTTTGTTTGACTTTCAATATGTGTGACCTTGGTCAGAGTGACAGCTGGTCAGTTAACTTCACTTTAATCTTTGACGCACCTTAGTGAGAGATGTTTTGTCATGTGGATTTGGACAGAAAGTGACTATGTTCAACAGTTAGAGATAAAAGTTAATTTATTATTATTCATATTTTACACATTGCTGTTGCTAAGTTACTACAGAGAGAGAGAGAATTATATTTGGCTCATAGGTACCTTCAGTTGAACATATTCAGCTGATATCCATGTCTACATCCTTGGTAATCCAGCATCTTGCAATTAGTTCTGTCCTCACATTACCCTGGTCTCTACATTACAGTACCCACATCCACATATTTATCTTCTGCAAGTGAACATCTTTAAGTCAACTCTTAGTCTGTTACCCAGATGAATATTCCTTATTTTAGTCACAGCACTCTCCCCAAAAAGATCATTCAGACATTTTTACTGTTTGTACATCCAGTTAGATGAATGACAAATCAATATCTACCTAATAATGAATGACACTGGAATTCTGGTGATATTCTGGATTTTCTGGATATTCATGGATTTCCATTCATATGGGAATATATCCTGTGTGTGTGTGTGTGTGTTTATTTGCAGTTGCTGCTAGTAGTTATACTCTTTTGCTGTAATGCTACACTCTTCCCACAGTAGTTACAAAGGTCACCAATGGATTGTCAACAAATGTCACCTGACAATTACTATAACAAGCACTATTAAAAATAATAAAAACATGATTCATCTTATTGCTGTAGAAGCAACTTGCATTTTTTAATTATCAGAAATTTCATTTATGATTTTTGTTATTTTACTAAACTTTTACCTTTGTTTTAAAATTTATTTAATTTTATAATCATTTTTAGTGAGGTTCGATTAGTAGAGATTCAAGAAAAATTATGTAAAGATACAGATCAGCAAATTCAGGTAAAAATTAAATTTATTGTATTTTCATATTTATCATTAATACTTTTAAAATAATACATTTATCAAATTGTTAGTGTTTAGCACTGGCTGATGAGCAGGAAGCAGTTTTAGAAGAATGGTGGTTTCATAAAAGAAATTCTACACCAGATCTTTATCAATATCTCTGCATTGATAAATTAAAAGGTATCAGATATTGAAAATAATCTGACAAATAATAAGACATTGTGAAAAATTTTGTTCATTTTATTACAGTTTGCTGTCCAGATAATCATTATGGGCCAGAATGTAAAGCATGCCCCGGAGACATAGCTAAACCTTGCAGTGGTCACGGTCAATGCAAAGTAAATCCTTTAACAGTTAAAAACTTTAATATTAAATTAAATACATAATATTCCTTTTAATATAGGGATCTGGTACCCGCAATGGATCGGGTCAGTGTAAATGTGACGAAGGATACACTGGCGAAGTTTGTGATAGATGTCTAATTGGGTATTATGAAGAAACCGCAGATGATGACAACGTATGTCTAAAATGTGACAGGTCATGTAAAGGCCACTGTCGAGAAGGTGGTTCAAAAGGTTGTGAAGTTTGTGCAGATGGTTATAGATATATCATTGAAGATGGTTGTATGGGTAAGTTACAATATGAATCATATTGTGTAAATTTAAGAATGATAATAAATCTTTATATTAATTCATTTTATTTTGATGTTGTAGAAGATAATCATGAAATTAGCTATTGAAAAATGACATTTATTTATCAGATTATCAGAAATAAATGTTCCTTTTTTTTGGCAGTTTCATGCTCTTTTATTGGAAATAATGTAATAGTTTATTTAATCTTTGTGGTTTGTGTGATAAAATACATATAAAAATTAATCAAATTAAAATGCATTATGGTTACATGTATTATTATAGTAGAATATACATAAACTCTAACTCTCTGTTTGAAATAACTCTGAGTTTTTTTTTAATATATTATAAATGAGAAATTTGTGTATTTCATGGTAATCACGAATTGTATGCTTTCACATTATGACTAAATGTGTCACTTTCTTTGATCTTTGTAAAGAAATTTTTGGCATTCAGATTATTTCTTATGGGAATTTCTTAGAGATTTGAAATGTAAATTTCTAGTTTTGAATTTTATATCATTGCATTGATGTTATACTTCAATTTGTGAATTATTGGCAGTGCTATATTTCACTATGGAAGCAAGCTTTATCTATGCAGTTTGGGAAACTATCTGTTATTTTGTAGTGTTGCTAATTTTTTTTTATTTTATTTATGAGTGAATGCTTTATTATTATTTGGAATGTCCCAGGTTGGGAACAGAAAATTATTTTTTCCAATTATTAATGACAAGAGCTACAGCTAGATCTGGATCTGAGTTGGATTATCAGGTTGATGAAATATCACACTTTCTAGGACAGGAAAATCTTTATATGAAGGAATTCATGTTCTTTTGAGATTGCATATGCTGCTTAATAGTAAAGTTGACTTAAGAATGTATGGGAAGCTATGGTTGATTTTGAGGCTAAATTGACACACAGAAAAGATTGTCAATATTAATTTATCTGAGGGAGGGCTGACTTTTTCTGTTGATAATGTATTTATGAAATTATTTATGAAATGATCAACCAGAGAAGAATAAATAAAGAATTATTTATTCTTCTCTGATTGATCAAGTTACCTAATGTTATTTCTGGATTAGAGGAGAGACAAGGGGAATCATTATTGGATACTTTTGAGGTGATAAAAATTATTTTAGGGATATTTTGGGTCTGTCCTCTGTGCAGTTTGTTAATGTACAAGTTAGAGATAAACCTAGAATAATTGTGTACCACTTTGGCTCTTTTAATGATAAGTTGCTTTTAAAGAAAGCAATTTTCTTGAAAAAACAATCAAATGTATATGCAAACGATTTTTCACAGCTTATGAGATATCAGATATAAATTGAGAACATTTGGTAAACAAAGAAAATTAGAGGGAACTCAAACTATTCATTTAATAGGATAAATAATACAGTTATAGATTTTAAAAATATCTTTACGTGACCAATGACGACAGAAAGATTATAATGGGAAATATTATACTTACTGATGAATTTATTTTTTATAGCCTTTCTATTGCCATCATCTATAAATTTCAAATCCAATTGTGAGATTAGCAGTAGATCACTGGTTAATCCCCAAATGACCACTTACTCTGCACAGGCTGGTAAAACCTGATCTTGGGGTCTGTTGGATGGCTAGGAGGAGTGAGGAAGCTGGCAGGTGTCCTTAATTGACAGGAGACAGGTTCAACAAAAATAACAAACATTTATTGAATGGCCAAGCTATAATACATAAGGCGATAACAATATATAGGTTAAATGCGGTTAGATACAACTCAGAATAAATGCGGCTAACATACTATACTATACTCCTTCCTCCCAGGGTTAAACTAAAAATACGCTTAGGGAGAGAGAGAGTCCACAGGTTCAAATAATTACCTCAAAGAGGTAATTATGTGTGGCGATTAAGTGTTATGTGGAAGTTCCTATGGTCTTCTACATGGTATCTTCTCCTTTCGTCGGGTCGAGTCCGTTATATGGAGGTCCGGGAGACGAGATGCACACATCGACAAGTATAACTTCCAAGAGATTGCTCTGAGCTTCCGGAGATTTGACCTTTTATATCATTTGTGTGGGAAAACTGACACGTGATTGACTTTTGTTGACAATGACGGTGCATTCTTCACACCTAAGTGTAAACTTTCCCATATAATTGTTATACAATTGGTGAAATCCGATCTAGTTCAAATTCTTCGGGTTTTTTCCGAGGATATTTTCAATTAATAGAAAATTTGAACTTTTTTAAGTCCCGTAAAAATCTGTAGCTCACACAATCATTTAACACAAAATCTATCTTGTTTTATGAAAATGCAAAATTGTATAGTTATTGGTTACACGCAATGACAGAAAACCCTGCAGGATCTTTTGCTTCTTATAAAATTTTGCTATGCAATATTTCCAGAAAAGCTTTAATAAGAGTTCTATAAAAGAAATTTAAATTTGAAATGACCAATAAACTGTACCATTTCCCCTATATGATAAAAATAATTATAGAGGCAATTAAATAAAAATTGGAGATCACTAGTACAGTGATTTCTGTATCTTCAAAGTAACTATGAAATCAATCTCTCTGTGGCTTGCTAAAATTGTTCTGGAATCTGTAATAAACCTAGATTTTTCTAAAAGTATTTATTGAATTTTGAGATAATATTTCTATTTGAAACCTGATTTTCTTCATCTTTCCATAGGCTTAATTTGGATATTTGAAAGACTATACTTGTATTATCAGTGATTCTTTTAAAGTTTGTAATAGAGGTGGATTCAAAGCTGGTTGGATATTATTTATTAAGTCATATATAATGAGAAGTTCTTGGTTGTAATAAATATTGTGTTTCCTTCCAGTAACATTTTTATTTGTTATGTCTACATGCATAAAGAAAATTGGCTGAGTATTTTGGAGAGTTTTGATTTTGAGGATGAATGTAATGTAAATTTTCTAGGTGATTTTATTGCACATGTTGATTAAGGTAATATTATTTGGAATAATGTTTGCAGTAAATTTTGTATAAGTTTTAATGTCATGTTTAGTTTTAAGTCTAAACACTTTATTATAACTTTATTCAAGTGAATTATGATTGCTAAATGTGAAGATAGAGATTTGATAATTTTGAATGGATGATCAATTGGTGACAAGTGTGAAAAATTACATTTGTGTCCAATCATTGAACTGTATCATCAATCTAGGGATTATTTCACCTCAAATCTGGAATTGTTTTCTGTTAACATTTACTCTTTTTTGGATTACTGCCCTTTTATATTTTCTTCTAGGGATGAGATCTAATTCTGTTACAGAAGGTTATGTGTATTATATGAAAGAATATCTTGGAATAATAATACAGTAGACCACCTATAAAATGGGTTCATATAGTTCAGATTCCTATAAACACGCTAAAACATCATCGCTGACTCATGTCGTGACAGGATTGGTCAAATCTAGACCAATAGCGGATATTGTACAAACTGTTGCGTTTAAACTACTAAGAACCATTTATTATTTAACATCCATAAAAATTATATTTATATTAATGATGTCTCCAAAGTTCAGCAAAGTTTTGGCAGAAAAATAATTTATCAGGAAGAACGCGAGTGCCATTTGATGCACTGCTCCACGACGAAAACAAGCTTATGCAATGGCACACTCGGTAAGTAATCCTACAATTTTTTGTTTATAGCATAGTTTATACGGATTATTCCCAAAAAATTATACGTATTTTGGAAATGTTGAGTCGAATTTGCCTAGAATCGATTAATTTTATGGAAGAAAACTTTTCAAACAGCCGTAGTCCGTAAACTGCATATGTGCCGGGCCGTGATTGATTCGTGTATTTAAGGACTCGTAGAAAATGGATTTTATAAAAACCGGAACATATCTACCGTGTTATAGGGGGTCGACTGTATTATTGATAACTTTATAGGTGATATTTTAAACATGTCAGCTATTATTTTATCTAAATTATGTGAGATTACTGTTTGGATTGCTGTTAAGTATGGTGAATTGTATACCTAGTTTGAATTAGATTGTCAATTCTTGACAACAGCTAGAAATCAGGCTTTGTAGAACTAATTCAACTTCCACCAGAGGATATTTTGTGTGTTAGTCTGATAAAAAATTTATGCTTTATGTTTAGCCAAGAAAAAATTTTTTTTCTAGTATACAATTGCCACCTGGGTTTTGCAGAGATAATAGATGGTTTTTGGAAGTTCTGTAAAATATGAACTAGATGTATTTGAGAGATTGGTTTGACTATTTTTGTAAGCTCTTTGGAATTCTATTGCAATATAGATTTAACTATTTTTAGTGATTGCAAGTATTGGTTGGATGAAATTTTAGATTTAAATATTTCATAGTATGAGTTAAGAAATGTGATATGCAAATCAAAAGTGGAAAAGTACCAGGATTAGAATCCTCCCCTTTGTTTTTTCTTTTTTGATGAATTGTTTCAATAAGGTTTTGGACACTAGAATTACACCAGAAGAAAAAATTTTATATACGTAAGTCAATATAGAAGTGGTTCTGAGTTATTAAAGTTAAAGGACCAAAATATTATGAGAATCAGGCTGGTTTTTGATCAAATTACTTAACAATAGATAATATCTTTTGAATCAACGTATGTAAAATGAGAAAATGTTGTAAGGTGTGTGGCTTTTTGTCAATCTTTTGTCAGCATTTGATAATGTGGATAGAAATTTATTGTGAAGAAAATTTCTGAGCTATGATATTGGTTTCGAATTTGCTTCATTATTATCTGAATTGTATGATAATTGTTAGAATATGTTGAGGTAAATTCTGTTCTGAAGATCTTTTCTTATGGGCAAAGGAAAGAGATAGAGCTTTGTTATGAGCCCCTCTACTTTAATTAAATCTTTCAAAAAGAAACTAAAAAGTTATTAATAATTGTGCTTATGAGGTTATTACAGTAGACTCTCCCGTATCCAAACTAATGGGGGTGGGAGTGATCCAGATGTTAGATTTAAAAATTATCACACTTCCTTAAATCCAGGTAAGGAAGTGTGATAATGTTTAAATAAAACTAACATATATGCTTACTGTATGTATAAAAAATGTTTATCTTAACTTTGTAATTGACAAAAATAAGCCCTAATTAATTTTGAAAGTATTACGTTCAAGTTGTTTGTTTTGTTCTTTTCAATTTGCCTACAAGCTGCTACACATGCCAATGCCTCATCATTATCAAATCAGTGGTGGTTGATATATTATACCTTTCTGTGAATGTCAATGCAACCTTAATAAAAAAAAATGTAAACACTGCAGTATGGAAACAGAAGAGAGTAGTGTACAATATTTTCAAAAATTTTTTGGTTACCTTTGATCAGTCTGGATATGGGAGGACTGAATGTGAAAGATTCTAATATACTATCAATGTTACAACTATCATAATATTAGCTTTGGCAGATGATGATGATTTTTATTATCCATGGACTCAGTTTTTAATTAGCACCTGTAATATAATGTCTTTAATTTTAATAAATTATTTAAAATCATTACATTAATGATTTAAATTATTTTATTGGTAATAGTGTATGTAGGGGTCACTCTGGAAAATAAAAAAATCACAAAAAAGACACTTCTAGATTACATGTTGTCCTTCAGGTTACTTCTAGTATTAGGAACACGCTAATCCAACAGCAGTATGTTAGTGTCCAATGGGCAACAATAGCATTAAACGATTACATCCCTCATTACAAGTGCTGTGGTTATGACCATCTAGCTAGCAAACACACAGAAAAACAACACTGTAGTCACTGCATGGACAACCACAGCTACAAGGTTTGCTGCGTTAACAGTCAGGAACCGTGCTGTGTAAATTGTGCAAAAGCCAATAACACTATCAGAAGGGAGCAAACATAAGACCACACATAACACATTCTCTCAACAGTGCCCCATAACCAAACTCATGAAAACACAAGCTTCCAGTAGTGTCAGCTATGAATACAGGTAATACACCCGTACACAATATGAACACAGGCGGCTATAAAATCATACAGATTAATGCACAGAAATGCAAAGCTGCCTGCTCCCTTCTCATTCATACTTCCAATGTACATGATACTGGCATCATCATGATCCAAGAACCCTACACTATAACAACATGATAGTCAGGTTCAATGACTGGAAAGCCTATCCAGCTCAGGACCCTGGCTATTGCATCAAGGCTGGTATTCTCAACAGGAACAAAAACGTGACTGCCTGCCTTGTCTCCCAACATACCACAGAATACATTACTACCGCCTGTGTTAGACAATAACGCTCACCTTTACACATGTTCCGTCTACATTCCAGATACCACAAACATTGAGACGGCCATTGAAGACATTCATCACCTCCTGAACTCATAAAGATAAACCTATCCTAATAGGAGGTGATTTCAATGCAAAGTCTGCAACCTGGCATTGTCCAAAAGATGACCCTAAGGGTAACGTAGTTAACAAAACCATGGCCTAACACAACCTTACTCACTTGAACACCAACACCCTTCCGATTTACTCCTGTACCACGGGGGAAAGTTGGATCGACCTAACGTTAGGAAACAGTCACATCACTCCTAGGGTCCAACACAGATTCTGCCAGTAACCATAGGTATATCTTCACCAACCTACTAGTAATACTAACAATCATAGTTTTCACTATACTCGCACCAACACAGATTCTGCCAGTGACCATAGGTATATCTTCACCAACCTACTAGTAATACTAACAATCATAGTTTTCACTATACTCGCACCAACACAGATTCTGCCAGTGACCATAGGTATATCTTCACCAACCTACTAGTAATACTAACGATCATAGTTTTCACTATACTCGCACTAGCTGGCAATTATTCTGTGACATGGCCTTTTTCCTATTCAGTGGAAAAAGGCTAGTGTCAAATTGATTCTCAAACCCATCAGCAATAACACTTACAAAAAATACTGACCAATCCTGTCTTCTTCCAACTCTGGGAAAAGTGTTAGATGGTCTAATGATTAATAGGATCACATGGCATCTATGTAAATGTAGAGCCCTGCATCAGAATCAGTTTGGCTTCTCTAAAAACAAAGGTACAGTAGATGCCATCCTCCAGGCTAAACAAAACAATCAGCATACCACAATTATCACTATTGACTTTAGAGGTGCCTTTGGTCATGCCTGGTGGCCTTCTATCCTGCACACATTACATGCTCATCACTGCCCTCAAAATCTCTACAAACTTCTTCAGTCCTATCTTAGCGACAGAAATGCAGGTGTCTATACAACACAAAATAATGTAGTGATCTGTAATGTAATGATCTGGATCTGAGGATGACCCATCACTCAAGGTCATCCTCAGATCCAGATCTGGTTCTGGTCTCCAAGCATAGCCTATAATTCTATTCTGCACTTAAACGACAGCCTGCCTCCTGGCTGCCGCATACACGGTTATGCAGATGATACAATTATCCTAGCTTCACACAGGAACAGGGAATGCTTACAAGACATAAGCAACAACATTCTCAATAACATTCACCAGTGGAGCATAGGCAACCCATTAACACAGACAAATGCATGATAGTTGGTAGGAATGCACCACTCGTCAGGAAGCTTACTCTTCAAATAGGTGCTCACAGAATAAAGCAAACAATGAAAATTAAATATTTAGGTATTATTCTTAACTTCACACCCCATATCAAACACATCAAAGACAAAGCTAAAAAGATGGCCAACACCCTCATTAGTATTACTAGGAACACATAGGGCCTTGGCCCTAATGCTACTAAGCTTACTTACAGGGGTGCAATTCAGCCAGCAATCCTCTATGCCATACAGGTCTGGGCCATGTGACCGCAGACCTGTATATGTGCTTAATTCACATTAGACATAGGAAGGACAAAAGACACTACTTACACTATCACATTTATTCTGACAGTAGGTAGCTTTATGCAGGATTGCAAAGTCTGATAGCTGCTTAAAACTCATCCAGCTTATACACCACATTCTTAGACACTAAGACAACATTAGAATAAATTTCCAATGGGTCAGGGATCATGGATCATGCAGGGTTCTCAGTAACAAGACTGCAGTTTGTTTGGCAAGACAGTCAGCAAAGTCTTTGGTCACTAGTACTTTCAGTTACATTCCTACCTTGTACATCAACAATCACATCAAGAAGCAAATCTTCATTCTCTGGCAAGACTGCTGGGACTGTGACACCACTGGTAGGCTCACCTACACTTTCATCACTGTGACACTACTGTGATTCTTCACCACTTTTACCCTAGTTACACCCTGACTCAGCAACTTACGGGACATAGCAACTTTAAGCAATACTTGCATAGATTTAACCTTGGGGACAATCTGCAATGCAATTGTGGTATTTGGGAGGACCAAACACTGCTGGGATAGTTTAATGAGAGCTGCTATTCTTGAAGGGTACAACTGGCCTTGCAACCCGCACTATCTCATTCACATGCGTACAATGTTCCATCATCTACTTGCATTCATATCCCTTAGTGAGGCTCTTGGGAGCACTCTTTCTGAGGGCACGGATGGCAATTAGCTTTCCCTTGCTTTGTTTCAACTGTCGGTATACACCTGCTTTCAACTTTGTATTTTAATTCTTATTTTCTGTCTTCTTTTTCAGTCTAAATTTGGTTAGTCCTTATTGTAAGTTAGATTGGGGACTCTTAGCTTGGTTTCTGGTTAGGTAAGTTAATGTTTAAAAAAAAATAAATAAAAAATTTTGGGGTCTTGCATGTTTGTCTTTTATCCGTCCATTTGTTTTTTTCGTGCTGTCTGTCTAGCTGTTAAGTAGTATTAAGATTTGCAATTGCATTCAGTTTCATTAGTATTAAGTAGATATAAGTCTTCCTATTAACAACCACTTGGCACTAACTTCTACAGTTAGCTATTCATGACAACACTCAATTATTGTTGTTCGCTACACTTGGGTTTTCTTTTAGACCCTTCAGGGGACTACGGCCTTGCAGCCTAAAAACTGTATGCCATTCAGAGGGATACTACCTTTCTCTAATATCTCCTTTCCCTCATCCTCTTTTCCACTGGCTAAACACCTCATGTACGGCCGAAGTCTTTCTTGTATGTATGTGTAAGTTCTAGACCTATGTAACTAATGAACATTTTTTGCAAAGAAAAATCATTTCCTTTCACTTCTCTAGTTGTAAAATTAAAAGTCATGTTTGTTTTTAACTACTGTTTCTATTCACCCCAAACCATGTGGTAAAAAGAGGAGGAAGTTATTCTGAGGACAAGCAAGTGAAGCAAACAGGAAGTTGAAAGCGTGTTAACAGTGAAACTCTGTTTCTCCCCAACGAGACAAGTATTGAAATGGCTCTGAATGGTGACAACAATATAGAACATCGTGAGATATCTACATATGCTTTTTGTTTAGCTGGAGCCATAAACTATTATTTACTGTTTTTAGATTTTTTTTGCATTTAAGAAAGTGTAAAAAGTTATTATACTCATGATTGTATTTTTATTTTTCTGTGTAGATTTCTGTGTCAATATTATTAAAATGGTAGTAGTAATCTTAAGTTTTATATATTATGTTTATGTTTCATTCATAATGTATGACAATACTTTGGATACTTGAAAACAATTATATTAACCTTTTGTCACTAATATTTTCAAGATATCGACGAATGTCTGGAATCGGATAAAGATCCTTGCACCGGAAATACTTTCTGTGTAAATACTTATGGAACTTACCGATGCCTTGGTTAGTAATTTATTTTATTCTTATCAGTCGAACGATGCCTCCGGATTTTAATAGGGCTATAATAGGTTTAATTACACGATTAGAATCCGGCAGTATCGTTCGGTCGTTACTACATGCTGGACCTTTTTGTACGTAACAAAATAAATTGTTTTATCAATTGACATCATTAGCTTGTGACAAATCTTGTGAAGGTTGCACCGGTGATGGCCCAGACGTGTGTATTAAGTGTGCCAATAAATATACTTTAGAAGATGGATTGTGTATAGGTGAGTGCCATTGTCACAATAAATTTTTGAAAATTTTTTGCATTAAATTGTTGTCGTTTTCTTATAGAGAAGAGTGTAGTAGAACGAAATTTCCATATTGAAATAGCAAGATATGCAACGTATGGAGGTCTCTGCATTGCAACGTGCATCATCTTTAGGCGTAGCAGCATTATTGCCGGTCTCATAGGTGTTTTTGTAGCCGTGTACATTGCTTTATCCGAATATACTTTGGGTGATTGGGATCGGCGATCATTTGCCAAGTTATTGAAGTCTTGGTTATCGTTATAAACTTCCTTCAAATTTACTTCTTCGGGTTGTAAATCTTTCAACGGTGACCATCGCATTAGTATGCATCACAGATGATGCATAAATAAAATAGAGGCAAGATTTGTATATATAATAGTAGTCTCTACAGTATACAGGCATACCTCAACTTACGTCGTTCCCGATTATACGTCGTTTGTCAAAAAAGTATATGGAAAAATAAAAATCAAGTTTAAGTCATTTTATTCGACTTTACGTCTGTCCGCCACAAATATTGAAGTCGTAATATCACTAGAAAAACGTTTAAAGCACATAAAATCATATTAAAATATATACATTTACAAGTATGTACTGTATTTACAGTACATGCATTCGTAAATTTAGATTACTTTTTTCTGTACTATATTAAAAACTAAAATTTATTTGTTTGTAAGCTTAAAATAGATTTTTATTAACCATATATTATTAAAAATGCATTAATAAATAAAATACAGAACCAGGAATGGTAATTTATGGTTTAGCCTAGTGACAAGTAGATTCGGAGACAAGTAAATTCGACTTACGTCGTTTTCCTGGAACCAATTACCGACGTAAGGCGAGGTATACCTGTATATGTTTGGCAAAATGTAAATTCGGCACGCTTTTGACATCTCGCTTGCATGACTGCGACTATTTTTACAGGAAAAATGCCAACTCTTTTTTACCTGATCATTTGTTTTATTTTTGGTGCCTGCACTATTATTGGATGTAAATATTTTATAGCGTCAAATGCAAAATAATAAAAATACATTTAATTTTATATTGCATTATTAGTTTTATTTTGTGATGATACCCAAATAAAATGTATATCATAAATGCAATTATTATTAAATGAAAATAAACATTCCATTAAATATCTACAAATTAGAACTATGCAGAAGCATTTAAATATAAACTGTACAGCTGCATTGTTTCTATATTGTATAATGCAATAAGTTTTGTGCGAAATTTTATAGCAAAATACGTCGAATCTATTGCAAAAATATCGACAACCTGTTATGACAATTTACACATTTGATGAGTATTTGATATCTATACAGACTATTTACATTTATGTCCTGTTGTGTTTAGAGCGTCTTTGTTAGCATTTGATTATTATTTGATTGTGTGCGAGACGAGGAGTACAGATTGCTGTCGTCGTCATCTACCCAAGGTTGCTGATCTGTCGGGATGCCTTCTCGTAAAGGATCAACATCATACGCCGGTCTGCTGATGACTAATTCGATGCGATCACCTGCAGACGCAATCAGTGGAACAGTGAGACAACAGTCAAAGTCGTGTGTCTTGGTGTCGTTGACCTAAACAAATGGGCATGACATTTATTGTAGTAAAATAGCATAAAGCCTAATTCTCACTATGGTGAGTATATGATATGAGAACATGTAGAAAGTTACCAGCAGAATTGTTCCGGCTTTAGGAGGACCCCATGCTAAGGCTATAATGCTGTGAAGGGGAGAAAATGTTTGTCCTAAAGAGAAAATCTCTCTCTTGATTTGTACAAATTTTGAAATTAGTAATATTATGCACAGCAGGAGAAATTTTTCACCTGCCAAGTTTCCATTTTTAACAATTCCAACTGTTTGTCCATGTCTGCCAAGATGGAACTGGTTACTGCCGAAACAATTCTGATGATCATTCTTTTGGTCAATCATGCATTTAAACATATACAATCGACACATGCACAAAAGAGAGAACTGGACTTAAAACTGAAATCAAACACTTACATACCTGTAAAATTCTATCTAGAGGTCTCAAAAGTCCACTCAGATCTGCAGGACCTCTGGCTCGAATGCGATTAATGTAGACTCCTCTCTCGTACAGCCCATCCGAGACGCTAAATCCAAAATCTTCATATATTTGGTCTTTAAATAACGTCACACGGTGCACTTCTATGGGTACAGGCACAGAGTAGGCTTCTGGATAATGAGCCGAGCCACCGTCCCTTCCTCCCTGTTTTCTTTCCTCTCTCTCGCCGTTTACATCCCGAGTATCAGAGAGCGAGGGAGATTCTTCACAAAAATACCGCAGTTGATTTCTATGGGCATCGTCTTGTCGATCGCATTCCACCGAAGGGTCGCTTCCCATGATCGTCTTTTCGATTTGTCGCAGCAGTTGTGACTGGCCGCAAGTCTCCAGATCCTCCAACACCTTGGACCAATCTGCCTTTTCTTCTTCAGAAACCGCTGAACTGGCATAACTCTGCGAACTCGTCGTCTTCAATTCCCAATTTTCACTCAAATGATCTGACCGTTTTAAAGACGCTTGGAACTTGTCATCGTAGGCAGAACGGATGTTTAAAGAAGTTGGTGTACAAACTGGAACAGAAATTAAATTGTACTCGATACATTTCTCTTAAGTTTTGATACGGGTTCATATTTACCCAAATCACAATATTCGGCATCGCATTTTGGACGAGTCTGCATTCCGTTAACAGAAAGATCCAAACCACAGCTTGCCCACGATTCCACTGCACTATCAATACTCGAAATGGGAGTGGTGTCAATCTGAAAATTAAAACAGTAAGGTCAATATTTTATTTAGAATTAACTGAACCATTTGTAATTTGTTCAGTCAAGGAAGATGCTTATAGAAAAGATCTGTAGAGGTTCAGATGACGGCAGACCCAGACAAGCAATTTGTGCACAATGTGGTTTACGACAAGCGAATGTTGGCAGAGTCTGGCAATCAAGCACAAATGATTCCTAGATTGTCTACCCAAAAATATAGAATAATTATGAAAAAAAACAATGCACTAACATTCCAGCAAGAATTGAGTAAGAAATATCAAAGGAAAAACTTTAACTTTATTACACTATTAATATTTTAAAAGACCAGAATTCAAAATGCAGAAGATATAATTATTCAAAAAAACACCACACCTTAATTTGCTGAGAAAACTTTTAATGAAAAGATAACGTTTTCAGCCAACTCTATTGGCCATCATCAGGCTAAGCTTTTTCGAATACAAAGAAAATAGAACAAAAATTTTTAAATACAAAAAAACAAAATAACGAACGAAATATATATATATAAATAAATGTATAAATAAAAATAAAATAAAATAACAACTCTTATTATAAAATATGGATG